CCCCCCCCCCCGTTCCGCGGCAGTGAGCATTACGCTCCCTAGAGAGGGAGGGGGCACGTACGCTGATGCGCTAGTTAAAGCGAAGTGTAGTATCTCCCTTGAGGAAATGGGGATTGCCGGTGTTCGACCGAGAAGAGCTGCAACGGGGGGCCTTATCCTTGAAATCACTGGCCCTGGAGAGACTGAAAAAGCGGACAGACTAGCTACTAGGCTCAAGGAGGTTATTGGAAATGACGCTAGGATACTCCGCCCGGTAACGATGGCGGAGATCAGAGTTAGGGACTTCGATGACTCGTGTTCGACAGAAGAGGATAGGGATGCCATCCACAAGGTGGGGGGTGGGGAACCCCAGTCCATCAGGGTCGGGGCCATTAGACGTACTGATGGAGGAATGGGCACAGTGTGGGCTCGGTGCCCTGCGTCGTGCGCCAGGAAGCTGGTGGCGGAGGGGCGGATAAGGGTTGGTTGGGTCTCGGCAAGAGTCGATGCCCTTCCGGCTCGTCCGCTCCAATGCTTTCGGTGCCTGGAATTCGGACACGTGAGGGACACATGCAGGAGCACCCGGAATAGGTCCGGGTATTGTTATGTGTGCGGGCAAGAAGGACACCGCGCGAACCGATGCTCGGCGGAGGTCTTCTGCACTGTGTGTGCATATAGAGGGAGTCCTGCAGCGCATAAATTAGGAGGAAAGGGGTGCACAGCCACTAAGAAAGGGGAAGGTAAGAGAGGGGCGGCCGAGCGACCCACGGCTGCTGCGGAGCACCCAACCAATGAGGTGGGGGCGGGGACACGGGAGGGTGGGGATGTTGCCCCTATGGAGACTGCTGCCTGCTAATGGCCCAGGGATTAGTGCTGCAGACTAACTTAAACCATACCCGCCATGCTCAGGACCTATTTGTCCAGAGCATGGCGGGCATGAAAGTGGGATTAGGTATCGCGGCTGAACCCTATGCTGTTCCCGCCCACTCGGACCGGGTGGGCAGCAGGGCGGGGGGGGGGAAGGTGGCGATAGCTCGAGGAAAGGGTGCACCCACCCTAACAATTATCCATAGGGGGGAGGACTATGTTATGGTGGACTGGGGGACGGTTTCGGTGGTAGGGCTCTATGCTCTTCCAAACCGCCCCCTGGAGCAATTTGAAGGATTGCTGGACCGGGTGGGGGCGATGGTGTCGCGTCGCTCTCACGGTCCAGATATTGTTGCAGGGGATTTTAATGCGGCCTCCTCACGCTGGGGAGCCGCACGGGAGAATGCAAGGGGTGTGGCGGTCCTTGACTGGGCGGCCGCCCTGGGCCTGGTGCTTCTTAACCGGGAGGGGATTAGTACCTTCGTGGGGTGGCGGGGTGAGTCTGTGGTGGATCTAATCTGGGCCAGCCCTGCCGCCGCATGCAGGATTGAGGGATGGGGGGTGGCCGAGGAGCTTGAAACCCTATCGGACCACCGCTACATCACAATGAGGTTGATTCCCCCTCCTGGTGGGGGGCATCGTCCCCCTGGTCCCCTTGCAGGGTGCGGGGGGTGGTGCCTGGGGCGGCTGGATGAGGACCGTCTCCGGGCTGCAATGCTTGCGGGCTCTTGGGGTACCACTCCGACGGGACCGATTACGGACGTGGAGAGGGAGGCGGGCTGGCTGGTCCGGTGCGTGGCTCGTGCGTGTAGTGTCGCTATGCCCCGGGCTGCCCCCCCCCCCTCCGCTAGGGGGCGGTATATTGGTGGTCCCGGGAGCTTGCCGAGATGAGAGGGGAGTGCTCCCGGGCCCGCCGGTGTTTTCTCAGGTCCCGTCCGAGAGATACCAGAGATTTGGAGGGGGAGAAGGTTCTATATAATGAATATAGGACCCGGGTCGTGGCCCTTCAGGCTGCGATCCGGGAGGCTAAGGACCGGGCATGGGGGGACCTTCTGTCCTCCCTAGACAGGGACCCATGGGGGCGCCCTTATAAGATAATAACCGGGAAGTTACGACGGGCGCCCCCGGCTGTGGACTCCCTGGAACCCCGGGCCTTGGAGAGGGTTGTTGATGCCCTCTGCCCCTTGTCGGGAGGGGACGTCAGGGCGGTGGGGGATGGGGATAGGGCGATACACCCTGAACCGGTTCCGCCCCCCCCCCCCCCCCC